TACTAGGCAAGCACTCTACTGCTGAGCCACATCCCCAGCTTCTCAGCCCTTTTTGTTTTTTATCTGGAGACGGTGTTGCTCAGTTAATAAGGCTGGTATTGAACTTATGATCCTCCTGCCTTGGTCTCCTGCGTTGTTAAGATTATAGGAGTGTGCCATCATGCCTGGCTGATTGCTCACATGAGATCCTAGAGAAGAGTCATAGAAAATATAATAGTGGTTGACAGGTGAATAGGGAGTTATTGTTTAACAAGTACAGAGTTTCAGGTAGGAAAGATTCAAAAGTTCTGGAGATGAATGGTAGCGATGGTTGCACAATAGTAAATGTGTAAAATGCCACAGAACTGTACACTTAAAAATGGCTCAAATCATAAATTTTGTGTTTATTTTACCATAGTAAAATAAAACAATGTGGAGGAATGAAAGATACCTGGATGCAGTGGCACTTGCTTATAATCCCAGTGACTTGGCAGGCTGAGGCAAGAGAGTCACAAGTTCAAGGCCAGCCTCAGTAACAGTGAGGCCCAGAGCAATTCAGCAAGACTCTATCTCTAAATAAAAATTTTAAAAAAGAGAGCAAGAGAGAGAGCTGGGGATGTGACTCAGTATTAAAGCACCTCTAGGCTCAATCCCCAGTACCAAAAAAAAAAAAGGTAGAAGAAAAGGACAAAACATCTTCACGTGTAGTATACCAGATAACCTTTCATAAATCAGATATGTACATATTTAATATAAAAGTTGATATCTTCACAATATATGGTAGCGTCTTAAAGATATTGAGAAGTCATGCAGTTAAGAATTATATTATACAGGTAGTAAATATTTTCGGCTTTGTGTGACATGTAGTGTTTGTTGCAACTGATAAGCTCTGTGTTATAGTATTAAGTAGCCATAGACAATATGCAAATGAATGAGCAAAGCTGTTTTCCAATAAAACTTTATTTAAAGTCAATGACCAACCAAATTTGACAGTTGATGCTGAATAAAGGTTTTTATCATTTAAGTCTTTCTATTATATCCAGCAGACCAGTGCCAAGTACTGTTAGTATGAAACTCTTTCTTGAAATGTTACTGAAAGTGCGCTGGGTGTAGCTTAGTGGACAAACACTTGCCTCATGTGTACAAGGCCCTGGATTCAATCCCCAGCACCATTAAAAAAAAGAGAAAGAGATGTTGCTAAAAGCCTGTCCAGCTGAGTAATTTATCACCCCAGGAGTACAAAACGTGGATGTGTAACCGATGTGATTCTGCAATCTGTATACAGGGTAAAAATGGGAGTTCATAATCCACTTGAATCAAATGTATGAAATATGATATATCAAGAGCTTTGTAATGTTTTGAACAACTATTAAAGAAATAAATAAATAAACAGGAAAAAGAAGACTGATGTAATATGACTTGTTTCAGGACTAAGAATGGTTAACAATAGGAAATCCATTATATAATTACAAGAATTATAACTTCAAAAATAAAGATGTTTATATTTTGGCAAGAAAAATAAAGAAGGATTAATTGTATTTATTCTGTTTACCTGGATAAGAAGGTATTTATTAACATGGAGAGGTTTTTTTTTTATTTAGAAATTAACAACAAACTTTTATTCACATAAACATACCACGTATAATGAATTAAAATCAACTATATAGTATTTATATTGTTACAGCTTTTGAAACTTTAATGTTATGAGTAAGCATTGTCCTTAATTTTATTCTCTCATTTCTAAAGTCCTTTTGCATTTACATTTGAAATCAATATCATAGTTTTTCTACTAATGTTTAGTAAAATAATATGAAGTTAGTATGATTTGTTAACTCTTCAAAGATATGGGCAGAGAAGATTCACCTTAATGCAAAGTTAAGTAAATAAATACTTTTTAATTTTAGAGCTATTTTACAAAATTCCTGGACAGAAGTCATGGATTTAATACTGAAACCCCGTTCTGGAGGTAAGAATAAAATTCATGTTAAGAAAATAGATAAGGGGGTGGGTTTGTATCTCAGTGGTAGAGCATTTGCCTAGTACTTGTGAGGCACTGGGTTCGATCCTCAGCACCACATAAAAATAAATAAAATAAAGGTATTTTGTTCATCTACAACTAAAATTAATAAATGTACAATTTGTTTCTTTATATTTTTTCACAATTTTAAATTTATATCCTGGTTTTAGCTCTTTAACTTATCTAATTTATTAATTTAATCAATGAATATTTTAAGAATTAAATTTATTTCCCTTCATTTGCTACTAAATATCTGAATATATTGGGATCACATACACGTGGCTGTTTTGTTAAGGTATGGTATTATGAAATATAAAATCTTGGCAAAATGCCCTAAGAATTTTTAAAGAGTGCACTAAAAATTTTCAGAAGTATCTCTAAAAGCCTGGCACAGTAGCACATGCCTGTAATCTCAGTGGCTCAGGAGGCTGAGGCAGGAAGATCTCGAGTTGAAAGCCAGCCTTAGCGACAGCAAGAAACTAAGCAACTCAGTGAGACCCTGTCTCTAAATAAAATACAAAATAGGTCTGGGGATGTGGCTCAGTGGTCCAGTGTCCCTGAGTTCAGTCCCTGGGATCCCCCATCCCATCACCACCCCCCAAAAAGGAAAAGAAAGTACCTCTAAAGCTATGCTATATAAAAGGGATTTAAGTAGAATTTTCTAAATTGTCAAAATAAGTATATTCATTATAGGTAATTAAGCCAAGAAAAATAAAATCTCAATTTAAGGAAAGTAACTCATAAAACTTGACAGCACAATGGAAAAGGAGAAGGAAGGAAAGACTACCAAGTTTTTGTCTTCTGTTGAATGAGCTATGGTGATAATGAATAAATACCTTTTGTTGTTGCCCTGGGAGGAATTCAATAGAGTCATATAATTCTTTACTCTTGCTGCACATTTCATTTTTTCCCTTTCTGGTGCCTGTCCCCAGGTGAGCAGAGGCTCTTCATGGCACCTTCATCACAATTAGACTTTTCTATCTAATGTTGTGTTCCCCAGGAAGCATGTTAAGTTGTGAAGGTTTGTCCTTTGGATAAATAGTTAAATCATAGTTTTTTTCCCCCACAGCTGAAAAGGGGTACTTGGTGAAATGCAGGGAAGAATGGGCGAAGACCAAGGACCCAGCTGCTGCCCTCAGAAAACTACCTGTCAAAAGGTGTGTGGAAGGGCAGCTGCTTCGAGGACTTTCAAAATATGGAATGAAGAATATAGTCTCTGCATTTGGCATAGTGAGTGCGATTTGTGAAGTCAGGCAATGGCTTGAAGTGGTTTAATGCTTTTTAAACTTTATCTTGGAAGATTTTACTAAATTTTGAAAGAGCAGAAACTAAAGAAGGATCCTTTGGTGATCTCCAAGAGGTATTTTACCTGAGTGATCTTTGTTCAGACCCTGAATGGTGATGAGCAGGCAATCTTAGCAGTATTTACTAACATTGAGGGCACAAGAAAAGTATTAATGTGGAGAACTTGATCTACTTTGGAAATTTAAGTGGGTTTTTTGAGAAATTCAGAATTCATTGTATAGTCATTTCTTGATCATTATCAGAACTGTAAACTGCCTAAGGAAGAGAATTGGACAGTAAGCCATCTAAATAGTTATATTAGTCTGGTTTCATCGTGGTGGATCAAGAGGGAATAACATCTTGGCAAGTACAGCCTGTACCACTGATGTTTATGTATAATCCAGGACACTTTAAAATTTAACCCTTAAGCTTAAGCCTCAGTTACTTTTATCCAAATATATCGAAAAAACAGGATTCTTTCTGAAATTTGTTGTCATTCAATCATTGTAGGTGTTCTCCTTCTGTAGAATTATGGAGGAGAAACTACTGTTTGCTGTATAATTGACTGTTTGATTTCAAGGTTCATATTTCAGGGTCAGTAGCATACCTGAACTCTATGTAGATTCCTTGAGTTTGAAATTTGATTTGAATCTTCAATTTAGGGTATAAATTCCATAATGTTTGTTTTAGTTGCATGGATGTATGCATTATAGATACAAAATGTGAAAAGCTGCTACTGATGACTGTTAATGCTCTTTAGTTTGAGGTCTTCCATCTCTAATATTCAATACTCTGTTTCAAAGCCACTGTTTCTACAGGGTATTAAAAATAAGAGATTTAAAGTATAAGTTTCTTGTACTAGAATCATCAGTAAACAAACAAGATATTTTGGAAACTGCAGTACTTTTTATATTCAGAATATCTTTTTCTTTCCTATTTTTTTCCTTCCCTCCAGATACCAAGAAATAATCGTTTAATGTATATTCATAGCTATCAGAGCTATGTGTGGAATAATATGGTGAGCAAGAGAATAGAAGATTATGGGCTGAAACCTGTTCCAGGGGACCTTGTTCTTAAAGGAGGTAAAACAGCATATATCATTGTTCAAACAAACAAGAAGTCAAGTATTTGTCATTAGTGGCTTTAAAATCTTGCCTGGAATTAAAAATTAAATAGAGCTGGGCGTGGTGGTACACAGCAGGATTGCAAGTTCACGACCAGCCTTAGTGACTTAATGAGATCTTTTCTCAACAAAAAGGTGATGATGGGGTGGCTGAGGATGTAGCACTCCTGGGTTCAATCCCCAGGACATTAAAGAAAGAGAGAGGAAGATGTTTAGTAAGTTTGGAATGGGTCTCTATTGAAAAAAATATACATCTGGTTTAAGTAAGCATGTGACTTTCTAGGCCTCCATTTTCTCAACTAGTATGTGGAATAGCATTTAGAACAATGGTGGCTAAAATTCCTTTCCAAAGGTTAATCTGGATTTAGCAAATATGTAATACTTCTAGATTTGTCTGAGCCTCTCATCTTGTTGTCAGCTAGTTTAAAAGTGTTTCTTCAGATCAATACCAGACTGGAGCTAACTTACATGTGGCCCATGATAGAATGGGCATTTAGGGCATACTGAGCCCAAAGCATTCATAAGACAGCACTCATTCTCTCTGCTGTGGAGTCCTTACTGTGTGCCAGGTGTTGCCCTAAACCCTTTACCTTCATCTTCTAGTTTAAACCCTGCCAGTACTTCTAAAAAGTAGTACTTTTCATGGAGGTTAGTTACTTGTCTTACGTTTCACAGCTGGTTAATAAAAAAGAAAAATCTGGGCTCCAAAATCAAGTTTGTTTCATTTCAAGGTCTATATTCCGGATCAGTAGCATACCTGACCTCTATGCATTAGCTTGTTTTTTCCCTGATGTATCACCTTTTTTCTCATGCAGTACTGGTTATATCCAATGCTTTTTTTTTTTTTTTTTTTAGTTTATTTATAGTTGTAGATGGACAGAGTTCCTTTATTTTATTTGTTTTATTTTTATGTGGTGCTGAGGACTGAACCCAGTGCCACACGCATGCTAGGCAAGTGCTCTACCTCTGAGCCACAACTCCAGCCTAACATCCAATACATTTTAATGTTCCATGTGCCACATATTTCATCCTCTAACTACAGACTGATATTTATATTGTTTATTCTTTTAGGAGAGTACATATTTGTATGATAGCTTTCCAAAAAGTATTTTGTAATATTGCTTAAGAAGGATAAAAAAAATTAAAAAAAAAATGAAGGATAAAGTAGCTGATTTTTAAAAGTAGACATTTCCAGAAGATGAGTATACAGCTGGGAGATGTTTTAAAACTATTCACTGAAAATTCTATGAAATCTTTAATTTTTATTTCTTAGAGTAGAAAAAACAAAAGAGTATGGATGGTATTGGTATATTTATATATCTTTAAGCTTCCTAGGCCCCTTAACTTGTAAAAGTTGACTTCTGATTTGCTTACATATATATAACTTTAGAAGCTTGAATTCATGAAAATAATGTCTTTTTTATTGTTTATTTGTGCATTTGCAGCCACAGCCACCTATATTGAAGAAGAAGATGTTGACAATTACTCCATTCATGATGTGGTAATGCCCTTGCCTGGTTTTGATATTATCTACCCAAAGCATAAAAGTAAGTTCTCTGGCACGGGGAATATAGCTCAATTTGTAGAATGCTTGCCACACATGCACAAGGCCCTGGATTCAATACCCAGCACTGAAAAAAAAAAAAAAAAATTCTTTGGAGAAAGTAGTCTAACATAATTAAGCAACTGGCAGCCAAGAGTAAAAAAAAAGGAAAAAAAAATCAGTACCTAAAATATAATTTAAAAGATTTATTTCCATCACACTTAAGAGATATTTAGATTTCAAACATATGTAAACTGTGATTATTTATGAAAGTCTCCAAAAAGGGATGCATTCAAATGAACAATTTAAAGAAACTAAAGCCAGGAATGGTGGTACACACCTGTAGTCCTAGCTATTAGGGAGGCTAAGGTGAAAAGATTGCTTCAACCCCAAGTTTGAGATCAGCATGGCAACATAGCAAGACCCCATCTCAAAAAAACAAAAGAAAAAGAAACTAGATGGTTATAGTAGTAACAGTTGTATTATTATTATTGTTATTAGCATTACTTAAATTTTTAAAATTTATTAATTTATATTAAGTATAGGAAGAGTCTGAACTTGAACTTTATGATCTTTCTGCTTTAGATTCCTGAATCATTAGGATTACAGGTGTGTTCCACCACACCTGGCTTTACATAATTTGTTCTTGTTTTGCATTGAGATAGTAGATAGATAATTCTACCTCAGCATTGATTTTTAAAAACTGTTAAGTGCCAGGCATGGTGGCACATGCCTGAAATCCTGAGGCCAAGAGAGCAATTTAGCAAGGCCCTAAGCAACTTAGACCCTGTCTCAAAATAATAAATAAATAAAAGGGCTGGGAATGTAGCTCAGTGGAAAACACCCCTAGGTTAAATTCTCAGTAACAAAATAAAACAAAAATATATATAAGGGGCCTGGCACAGTGGCCCATGCCTGTAATCCCAGTGGCTCAGAAGGCTGAGGCAGGAGGATCATAAATGAGTTCAAAGCCAGCCTCAGCAACAGTGAGGTGCTAAGCAACTCAGTGAAACTCTGTCTCTAAATAAAATACAAAATAGGGCTGGAGATGTGGCTTAGTGGTTGAGTGCCCCCAAGTTCAATTCCCGGTACCCAAAAAAAAAGAATAGAAGGGACTTGGGATAAAGCTCATAGCATGCATGAGGCCCTAAGTTTGATCTGCAACACTGCAAAAGAAGAACAAATTATGTAAAGCCAGGTGTGGTGGAACACACCTGTAATCCCAATGATTCAGGAATCTAAGGCAGGAAGATCATAAAGTTCAAGGTGAGCCTTAAACTTAGTGAGACACTGTCTCAAAATTAAAAAGGACTTAGGGGACTGTAAACTCCGTCGTAGAGCATCCCTTGGTTTAATTCCTAGTTCCCCCCCACACCACCACACACACACACATAATTTAAGTAATATATGATAATGGTATTTAAAAAGTCAATAAATATAGGAGTTTATAAACTGACAATTAAAAATATTAAAACAAAAAGAAAGAAAGAATGTTGAGAGCCACAGCCAAAGGGGCCCCAGCAAACTTCCAGCTGTCAGCAAACTTCCAGCTGCCGTCTGATGATTGGCTCACAGCTGGCTACAACTGACAAGATGAAGAACTTGGCTGGTACCAAAAAGAACATACATTCATCAAAGCCTTTGACAAGTCCATTCATAAAATTTTATAGCCAAGATGGGGATTTATATGCTGGCCAGGTGGTATTTCACCATTTGGATATGTAACATATGCACACCTTCTATCCAACAGTGTTTATTTAGGGATTTCTGTTGTCTTCAGTGTGTGATAGAGGCATCTTTCCTTTTCTCTGTACTATCCAACTTTTTTTTTTTTTTTTTTTTAAGTACTAGGGATTGAACCCAGGAGCACTTAATCACAGAGTGGCATCCCCAGGCTTTTTATTTTTTATTCTGAGACAGGGTCTTGCTAAATTGCTTAGGGCCTCACTAAGTTGCTGAGGCTGACTTTGAACTTGCAGTCCTCCTGCCTTAGCCTTCCAAATCACTGGGATTACAAGCATGCCCATCTTGTAATCCCATCTCTATCCAGCATTTTTAACGAATATCTTGTATAAAGAAATACGGTCATATTTATAAGTAGTGTAAGTTAAGCAAGTGTTTAAGAAGAATTGTAGAAGGCATTTAATAGGGTAAAGTGTAAATTCTAATGTTTATGCGCATTGATCAAATAAACAGAAAAAGCCGAGTTTGATACAGTAGTCTCTATATAAAAAGTTTAAAGTAATTTAGAGTTGTTGAACATAAGCCTGTTAAAGGATTTGGTGGAAAACACAGAATTGTAAAGTGAGGGCAATTGACAGAACCATTATTTAGTCTAATGAAGATGTGACTTAAAGGTCCAACTTTTATGAATACATGTGGAAGAAAGTTCCACTGTGTTCCAAAGTAATCAACAACAGTTACAAGGGAACATGGCTGGGGTTGTGGCTCAGTGGTAGAGTGCTTGCCTAGTATTCATGAGGCACTGGGTTCAATCCTTAGCACCACATAAAAATAAAATAAGATATTGTATCCACCTAAAACTAAAAAATAAATTAAAAAAAAAGTTACCAGGGAATAGATTTCAGTTTGGAATAGGAAGAACTTTCCTTTTAATTGGTTCATTTTAGTTATATATGACAGTGGGATCCATTTTGATATAGTTATACAAGCATAGGATATATCTTATCCTAATTAGGAAGAACTTTCTAATAATTGTGTGCCTCATAAAGAAGTAGTTCCACTTGTTATGACAACTTGTAAGTGAACATTAAAAAGCTGTCTCTCTTGTGTAAAAAAAGATTTTCCATCAGGTGCGAGGGTGAGACAGATGGTTTTTCAGGGTCTCTTATTTTTGTACGTTTATTTATAACTACCTCTTCAGAGAGTGTTTGAAGCCTATGTATATGGTTTCTTCTGACTCTGAGCACAAAATTATGGTTTAGCAACTTTGGGTGAAATGACCTTTGGTAGGTAGCTTGAGAACCTTATACCACATGTACTATGGTAGCTGCAAAGATAGCCTACAAGTTGGCCAAGCCAAGGATGAAGATATCTTCTAGTCCCCATTACTAAGTCACTAAGTTTTATTTATTTATTTGTTTATTAGTTGTAGTTGGACACAATACCTTTATTTTATTTATTTTTATGTGGTGCTGAGGATTAAACCCAGAACCTCACACATGCTAGGCAAGTGCTCTACCACTGAGCCACAACCCCAGCCCTACCATTTTCATTCCAGAGAGCAGACTTAGAATTATAAAATAAGGATGCTAATTGAATTTACATGTTACACTAGTTTTAGTCTACGTTAAGCTAACTTGCTGACAGAATTCATTTTAACTTTTTGTATTTTGTATTAGTTAGCGAAGCCTACAGGGAAATGCTCACAGCAGACAATCTTGATATTGACAACATGAGACACAAAATACGTGATTACTCCTTATCAGGGGCTTACCGAAAGATCATTATTCGTCCTCAAAATGTCAGTTGGTGAGTAATAGTCTGGAATGAAGTAGAACTGAATTACTACATAAAAGTATTAAGTTTTTTCTTCATTTATATATTTTTCAGTGCTTAGAACCTAGCATGTAAGTGTTTAATATTATTGTTGTTCTTAGTACTATTATCACTACTGCTACCAGTTGGTATTTTTCAAATCATCAGATTAATGAAGGATGAGGGATGTGGCTCAGTGGTAGAGCACTTGCCTAGCATGCACAAGGCCCTGGGTTCAATCCCCACCACTATAAAGAAAGGAAAAGAAATTTAGTGAAAACAACTCTTAGATGTTGTTAACATCAATGAATTATTGAAGAAATGTGTAAAGATTAAACTTTTTTCATTATTTCTAAAAAACCAAGATTCTTATACAGAACTATCCCTGAATTACTCAATTAGCTGTGAGTTTTCAATAACAGTCCGGTTATTGTAATATTGTGTTTCCACAGAGAAAAGGATACTTGTGTCAATTAATTTTAAAATACTTTAATAGTATTATCTAGAACTTTACTTGATAATTTTAAAATGAAATCCTGAATTATTTGCCCATTGCCAGGAAATTCTCTCTCCTTCCTTTTCTCTGGCTGTGGGCAATGAAGTTTACAGAGTATCTTTTCCAAGGTATTGATGGTAGTGAAACCACTCTGGAGGAAATGTAAGGCCATGATTAATTCAGTCACATCTGTACAAAATAAAGTTTACTATGTCTCAACTTCATATAAAATAATTTCTATCCCAGGGAAGTATTTTGTATCATTTCCATTTGCTGACATTATCTGTCATCTTACAGTATAATAATATGGAAACAATAGTCTTATATAAAATCTGGCCTTGTTCTATTATTGAATAGTTCTATTTATATATTTATAATTATTTACAATAGACTTATGTGTTTTTCTTTTGGGGGAGGGTATTGGTGTTTGAACTTAGGGGTACTCAACCACTGAGCCCATCCCCAGCCCTATTTTGTATTTTTTATTTAGAGACAGGGTCTCACTGAGTTGCTTAGCACATGACTGTTGCTGAGGTTGGCTTTGAATTTACAATCTTCCTGCCTCAGCCTCCCCAAGCTGCTGGAATTACAGGCGTGTGCCACCATGCCCAGTTGTTTTATGTATTTTTCTTGCTAAACAAATGATGATGAACACCTTTGTGGTGGTGCATGCCTGTAATGCAGGAGGCTGAGGCAGGAGGATTACAAGTTTGAGGCAGAGGCAATTTAGTAAGACCTTGTCTCAAAATAAAGTAAAAAGGGCTGGGAGTGTGGCTAAGTGGTAGAGCATCCCAGATTCAATCCCTAGGGCCACAAAAAAGAAATGATGATAAGCAATTTAGTACCATTTATGACAGTTCATATTCACTCCTGTCTTTAATTATATATTTTAAAGGGAAGTAGTTGCATATGATGATCCGAAAATTCCACTTTTCAACACAGACGTAGACAACCTAGAAGGGAAACCACCACCAGTTTTTGCTTCTGGTAAGTCCACTCAATCTTCAGTTCTTGTGTCAACCAACTTTTACTTCAGTCTGTCATATAAAAGTGTAAATTCTTTTAAATAAATTGTTCTTACGGGCATGAGTTGTGGCTCAGTGTAGAGTGAGGCTCTGGGTTCGATACCGGCACCACATCAAAGCTAATAAATAAAATAAAGGTATTGTGTCCATCTTCAAGTAAAAAAAATCTTTTTCAGAAAAATTGTTCTTGGGCTGGGGATGTGGCTCAAGCGGTAGCGCGCTGGCCTGGCATGCGTGCGGCCCGGGTTCCATCCTCAGCACCACATACAAACAAAGATGTTGTGTCTGCTGAAAACTAAAAAATAAATATTAAAATTTTCTCTCTCTCTCTCCCTCTCTCTCAAAAAAAAAAAAAAAAGCACAACACTTTTGTGAGAGGAAAAAAATTGAGCTTTAAAAAAAATAATAAAATAAAATTATTCTTACAAACATCAACACCACCTGTCCACTCTATGATTTCTGTTTTGGGTTTCATCATCTTAGTTTCGTGATTATAATTGGAGGCAAGTCACTAAAACAGTCAATCCCACTGAAAGTGAATGAATGTTATAGATTGTTGTGGTATTAGGTGATAAAATCTTTCCTCCTCATCTCCCACAGAGAGGCAATAAAGTGAGTTAAAGTTCACAGGTTATCATGTCAAATTTTTTATGTTCTGTATTCTGTCCCCTTTCTTCCTCTTCCAGTCCTAATTGGGATTTGTTTTGTTTTGTTTCGGGGGGTTCTTTTTACATGCATTTTTCTCTTGTGCTCTTCTATAATCTACCCTTTTAATGAAGGTTCCTGGGTAGAATTACTGTATAAGTTCGACTAGTTCATATAGTCAACTAGTTCATTTATTTATTTATTTCATTTATTTATATGTGGTGCTGAAAACCAAACCTAGTGCTCATACATGCAAGGCAAGTGCTCTACCACTCAGCCCCAGCCCCATTATAAATCTCTTACTTCCATGGTTTCATTCTCTTTGAGCCCCTATGGGAAGTAGAAGCCTAAGGAAAGGAGCACGGTTCTTTGTAATTGTAGAGAGATTATCTGATTCTATACAGTCTATCTGCAGCTACTGTCATTTTCTGACTGTTCTCTTCTTTTTTCCCTTTCAGAAGGCAAATACAGGGCTCTCAAAATGGATTTTTCTCTCCCTCCTTCTACTTATGCTACCATGGCTATTCGAGAAGTGCTAAAAATGGATACCAGCATCAAGAACCAGACCCAGATGAATACAACCTGGCTGCGCTAAGTAGAACCTTATCCACAGATGAGAAAATGCAGACAACTGTTTGCTTACTGACTTCCTATTCATTTATCTCTTAATACAGACCCAGATATGGATTTTGAATCTTTGTAGTAAAGGATTCTTTGTATTTTTAAAAGTTTTTATTAGCTTAAAGAAATAATTTGCAATATTTGTACATATGAACAAATCTTGAGGATCCTAATTTTAGCACAGAGATTATAAATTAGTCAGAATATACTTTAGGTGCTTAAATCATAATAAAATATCAGCTTTATAATATTTTGGTTTAAAGTAGAAGTTTTAGGTTTTGCTGAGTACATGAAGGCAACAGGAATTTTTAACATATCATGAATGGAATGCACAACAATGCATTTTAAGAGCAAATGCAACAAAACAAATCTTGACTATGGATAAATAATTTGAGAATCCCCATTTATAGATATAAATACACTACTCATTGTCATTATGCATCTCATGTGCTGGATTCAGGTAAGCATTTATATACTTTATAGTTTGCAATGGCTTTTGCATTTATTATCAATGCCTTGCAGGAGAGTTACAGGAATGGGGCCTTTTTTCTTAAAATGTGTCCATTTTTATTGGTTAAGATCTACTTTTTACTCTAGTGCCTTTTTATGTTCAGAATTCTTTCCACCAGATTGGTATTTGCTCAAAAATAAATAATGTCACAGAAGAAAACTTCTAAATTTTACAAGGGCTCCTTCTAACAGCAGCGTTTACCCATTGTCATTAACTGCTTAGGTATTTACATTTCTGGCATTGCATAAAACTTTTCTCTGGTGTGAAAGATAAATATGCCTTTCCAAACTTGTTTAGCATAATTGTATCAGTTTTTTTTTTCTGTCATTTCTAGAGTCAAATGTTATAAATACTTTTAAAAACTCCTTTTTACTGATTATGTAAATAAATAAATACATAAAACTAAATGAAAATGAGAATTTGTCCTTGACTAAAAGTAAGAAACTAAGTGAATGAAAGAGCCTTAGAAATGGTGTTGACAGGGCTAGGGTTGTGGCTCAGTGGTAGAGTGCTTGCCTAGCATGTTGAGGCACTGCACATAAATAAAGCTCTATGGACAATTTTTAAAAATAAATAAATAAATAAATGACAAATGGGGGCTGGAGTTTATCTCAGTGGTAGAGCACTTGCCTTATAAGTATGAGGCACTGGGTTCTATCCTAGCACCACATAAAAACAAATAAAGGCATTGAATCCATATACAACTAAAAAAATTAATTAAAAATGATGTTAACACAAAAGTGTGTCTTGATCAGGTGTGAGATTTGAGAATAATATAAAAAACTATCAAGCCAGGCACAGTGGCACATGCCTATAATCCCAACAGCTTGGGAGGCTGAGACAGAAGAATTGCAAGTTCAAAGCCAGCCTCACAACTTAGTGAGGCCCTAGGCAACTTAGCAAGACCCTGTCTCCAATTAAAAATAAAAAGGGCTGGGGCAGAGAGACTGGGGTTGTGGCTCAGTGGTAGAGCACTTGCCTAGCATGTGTGAGGCACCGGGTTTGATCTTCAGCACCATATAAAATAAGTAAATAAAACAAAGGTATTGTGTCCATCTACAACTAAAAAAATAATAATAATAAAGAAAAGGAAGTGGGGCTAGAGATATGACTCAGTGTTTAAGAGCCGGTGGGTTCAATCCCCAGTACCAAAAAAATTTTTTTAATAAACAAATAAAAGACATCAAATGGCATGACCAACTGACTTACTGTTAGACTGGACTAACTATTATCCCTCCAGAGGTATCACTCCCTCACCTGCCAATATGCTTTCTGGAATAGAAAAGAAAGGAATGGAGAAGATCTGTCATATCAGGAACATTACTCCATGCAGTGTGATGACATTTCTCCTTTTTCTGGTGATGGAAAGAAGACTGAGAACAAACAATTCATTTAGCCCTTTTCTTTTAATGACCTCCACCACACGGCCAAAGTTAAAGGACTGGAAATGCCTCGGTAAAATTATCCTTTTATCTGGCTGATTTCTAGAGACTCTTGTTCTACAAAAAGCTAAATTTATTAAATGTATAGTGGTTCTGTCTGTGCTTTCCAGTAATATCCAGTTCCTATCTTTTGTCAGAATGATTATTGAAAATTATTTATGAAGAATATCTAAGTCTTCCTATTGCGAAGTGTATCCAGCAGATCCTGCATTTATAAATCAACATTAAAAAAAAAAGTGAGGCCAAATGTGGTTTCTTCATCTGGTAAATCCTATGTGTCATGTAATAAGTTAATTTTACTGGCTACATTAGCAAATTATCCATTTCTGCATGTCTTATTTTAAACACCAGTGGAAAAGTTATGATTTGAAGTTAATTCTTCATTCCTTTTTGAGCCTTGGGGACATATTTTCTAACTCAAGGGACTTAGTACGGAATAAGTCATCACCTTTACATAGAAGTCAGGACATTTTTCATTGTTAACAATGGGAGGAAGTTTCTCCAAGGTAAATTTACAAAACCTGACAGCAACCTCATCCTACATAAAAGTGTTATAGCTGCCTAAATTTTTGCTTAAAGGATATAATAAAGGAGCATTAATTTTTAGCATAATTAAAACTTTCCTCCTTGGCGCAGTGGTGCATGCCTATAATTCCAGCACTCTGGAGGCTGAGGCAGGAGGATCACGAATTCAGAACCAGTCTCAGCAATTTAGCAAGGCGCTTAGCAACTCAGCAAGACCCTGTCTCTAAATAAAATACTAAAAGAGAGCGGGAAATGTGGCTCAGTGGTTAAGCACCCCTGGGATCAATCCCCAGCACTCCCGCCAAATAAAAATTTCCTCACAGAAAAGTTAGGTAGATAATCAAGCAATGTTTTTATTTGTGATTTCATGTTATAGGTAATAATTAGACATCTATTGTACTTATTAAAAAGGAAAAACTTGGTTGATTCTAGAATCTTCATGGTTTCATGTCATAGGTAATAACTAGATATATAGCTGTTGTACTCATTAAAAAATAAATAAATAAACTTCTAGGCAGGCACCTGTAGTCCCAGATACTAAGTAGGCTGAGGCAGGAAGATCACTTGAGCCCAGGGATTAAAGGCCATCTTGGGCAACATAACAAGACCCCATATCCAAAAAAAAAAAAAAAAATATGGCTGATTTTAGAATCAACCAAAAAATTGGTAGCAGCTGCAATACTATATTAGTACTTGAAACTTTACCATTTGCTCCAAGTAGTATAGATTAGCACAAAATGATACTTTTAGTGGAATATATTTTTAATTTTGTGGCCAATGTGTGCTTTTAAAAGAATGTGTGTATGTATATGTATATGTGTTTGTATACATATGCCTATGTGTATATGTATATCTAGATACGTATGGATATACAGACATACATAGCATATATATGTGTGTGTATATATGTCAGTTTATGCTGATGTATATGTACTTTCTTGGAGCAAAACAGATGAGGAGCTGGGTGTGGTGGTGAACGCCTGTAATCCCAGTGACTCAGGAGGCTGAGGCAGGAGGATTACAGGTTTGAAGCCAACCTCAGCAATTTAGCAAAGCTGTAAGCAACCTAGTGAGACTCTTTGGATTTGAATGTGATGTGTTGCCCAAATGCTCATGTGTGAGGCAATGCAAGAAGGTTCAGAGGAGAAATGATTGGATTATTAGAGTCTCAGCCCAATCAGTGAGTTAATCACCTGATAGGATTAAATGAGTGCTGACTGAAGGTATGTGGGGTATGGCTGGAATAGGTGGGGACTTGGCATGTGGATTTGGAGTATATATTTGTAGCTGGCAAGTAGAGAAGTCTCTCTGCTGTCTGATCATCATGTGAACTGCTTCCCTTTGCCACATTCTTCTGCCATGATGTTCTGTCTCACCTCGAGCCCCAAGGAATAGAGCCTTCTGTCTATGGATTGAGATCTCTAAAACTGTGAGTTCCCAAATAAACTTTTCCTCCTCTACAGTTGTTCTGGTTAGGTCTTTTAGTTGCAGTAGTGAAAAAGCTGACCTAAACAAACCCTATCTCAAAATAAAAAATAAAAAGGGCGGGGGATGTGGCTCAGTGGTGAAGTGCCCTTAGGTTCAATCCCTGGTACAAAAACAAACAGATTAGTAATGTAAACCATTTTTGTTTCAGACAGGAAAAAGTTAAGCATAGTAGAGGGATTATGAGTATGTTCATATTCTAAACTTCATTTCTTGAAAAGAAAGTGCTCTTTGTTCAATGGAATCTGCTTTCTCACTTTGTGGGAAAATATATTCCTATAGGATAAGACTGCTTAATTTTGGATGATGAATACTAAAGAAATATGGACACTGTCTCCAGAGGAAGAAAAGTGGGGAGTGTATGCAACACTTGCTCACAGATCCCTTAGAATTTAAGAGGCTTCAGGGCTGGGAATATAGCTCAGTTGGTAGAGTGCTTGCCATGCATGCACAAGGCCCTGGGTTCAATCCCTTGCACCACAAAAAAAAAAAAAAAAAAAAAGTGGAGCTTCAGTGTATTCAGATTACGATCCCCTACTATAGATAAGTTCTTTCCAAACTTGGAATCACTTGTCAGTTTTCATAAATTGCAGAATATATTTCAGGAAGTCTTAGAATCTGAAATACTGCATTTCTAACCAACTCCCAGAGGGTAGACATGCTGTTGGTCTCTACACTCTTGAAGTAGCAAGCAAGATTCTAGACTTATAGTGGCTACATGTGGCTGAACTTGAATTCAACTAATGAAATCTCTTTAGCCACAGTAGCCACATTTCAGCTGCTTCACAAATACATGTTAGTGGCTCTGTGCTGCATAACACTACCCTAGTTACCAAATGAGTCACCCAAGATACAGAGAAGAATCTGCTTGATCAGGTGTGACACCTGGTGATGCCAATGACCAGAGGCAAATGCCCACTGAATATGGGTGCAAGTAATGAGATTCAGGGCTTACACTGATTAGGAGTTCACCCTTGAAATAGATACCTTTCTAGGAAACTTCCTTAAACTCACTCCAGGATCAACTGTAGTCCATTCTTTCTTTTCCACCCTTGCTCTCAACCAGCTGTTAGACATGCCCTGTCTGACCTTATTTGTCCATTCAGAAAA